CTGCAGTTTGGAAACTGCCCCATAAAATCCGAAAGATCAACCCAAGTTGCTTCCTCTGCCGGCCGACCTTCCCACTGAACTAAGATCTGCTCCCTGTCGACCTGCTTTCGAGCATCCAGTATGTCTTGTGGGGTGTAACTTGTTTCTTTACCGCCAAGGCTTCAGGTAAATCCTTGGTGACATCATGCTGCCCGTTAAGTTTCTTAAGCTGGGAGATGTGGAAAACTGGGTGTATACGTGCTACATCGGGTAATTCTAACTTGTAAACCACGGGGCTCAACTTTCGAAGAATGCGATATGGGCCATAATACCTTGCAGCCAGCTTCTGATTTACTCGATTTGCCATAGAGGTCTGGCGATAGGGCTGAAGTTTCAAAAGAACTTGATCTCCCTCATCAAATTCTAAGGGTCGTCTCTTACGATTGGCAGTGTTAATCATCTGTTGTTGTGCTTTAGTGAGGTTAAAGTGCAGCTGCTTGATCAATTATGCCCTATCATTATGCTCATCCGCAACGGCTGCAACCTTGAATTCCCCTGGCATAAACTGATGCAAAGTGGGTGGTGGCCTGTCCTACACATATTCGAATGGAGTTCGGCCTGCCGCCGAATGAAAGTTGCTATTAAACTAATATTCAGCCCAATGCAACCAACAACCCCATTGCTTGGGTTGTTTTGAAGCGAAACATCTCAGGTATTGCTCCACGCAACGATTTGTTACTTCAAACAGTCCGTCAGTTTGCAGGTGGTAAGTTGTGCTCATGCGAAGTTTGGTGCCCATTTTAGTGAAAAATTCAGTCTAGAAATTGCTCAAGAAAATTGGGTAGATAACTGACGATGGATCGTGGGACTCCGTGTAGATGCATAATTTCTTTAGCAAACAATTCGGCTAAGGTTTGGGCAGTGAAAGGATGTCGAAGACCAATGAAATGTGCATATTTTCTAAGTCAATCGACTACTACCCAGATGCAATCAAACCCATTAGATCGCGGTAAACCTGTGATGAAGTCCATCGATATATCTTCCCAGATGTAATTAGGAATAGGGAGCGGGTTGAGCAATCCAGCTGGTGATAACGTCCCATACTTATTCCTTTGGCAAATTAGGCAGTCAGCAACATATTTTTGTACATGTTTCATCATGCCTCGCCAATAAATGCTACCTGCCAATCGTCGATATGTACGTTACGCACCTGAGTGGCCTCCTGTTGGGGTGGAATGAAACTCGTCTAAGAGTTGTTGCACCCATGGTGAAGTAGCAAGAATGACAATTCGACCTTTGTAAAATAGTCTTCCATGAACGAGCTGATATGGTGGTTGGCTATTTGGATTCAGTCGAAGTTGCTCGATGATTGCCCGTAACTCCACATCCTCGAGAATGACTGAATCAAGTTTATCCCAGTCAATCCATGTGGGAACAGAAATGGCTGCCAAATCCTTGTCCTCAAATTGTTTGGATAAACCATTTGCTGCTTGATGGTACTCACGATTTGTAGGTGATCTCAAAATCGTAACCCGTGAGTTTTGCCAACCAATTTTGCTGAGAAGGAGTTGTGATCCGTTGTTGCAAAATGTACTTTAGGCTCCGATGGTCGGTGCGAATTTCAAATCTTCTATCGATTAAATAAGGCCGCCAATGCTGAATTGCCAAAATCAATGCCATTAACTCTTTTTCGTATGCCGATTTGACCAACACTCTTTCCGAGAGTGCTTTACTATAATATGCTATCGGCCGCTGCTCTTGCATCAAGACTGCGCCCACGCCTTCGCCTGAAGCATCACATTCGATCACAAAACTTTTATTAAAGTTAGGCATTACCAGCACTGGAGAAGAGGTGATGGCGATTTTCAATCTTTCGAAAGCGTCCTGTGCTGGCTCTGTCCATGTAAAGTCCCTAACCTCCATTTTAAGTAATTCTGTGAGAGGTCTTGCGATCTGGCCGTAATTTTTAATAAACCGCCTATAATATCCCGTGAGGCCTAGAAATCCTCATACGCCTTTAACTGACTTAGGTTGTGGCCACCTAGTAACACTGGATATTTTACTTGGATCCATGGACACGCCAGATCTTGAGACAACATGTCCTAAATACTCCACTGATGTCCTCCTGAAATGACACTTCTTTTTATTAGCCTTAAGTTGATTATCGAGTAAAACACTGAAGCCTATCTGAAGGTGTTGTATATGCGCCTCCCATGTTTTACTGTAAACAAGGATATCGTCAAAGAAAACAAGCACAAATATCCTCAAATATGGACAGAAGACATCGTTCATGGGGCCTTGAAACGTGGTTGGGGCATTTGTCAATCCAAATGGTATGATCAAGAATTCATAGTGGCCAGAATGTGTTTGAAATGCTGTCTTGGCTATGTCTGAGGGATGGACCCGAATTTGGTGATACCTTTCTTTGAGGTCCAACTAGGAGAAAAAAGCGGTTCCATGGAGTTCATCAAGCATATCATTAATCATGGGAATCGAGTACTTATCAGGAACAATAGCCTTGTTTAGTTCGCGATAGTCGACGCGAAATCGCCAAATTCTGTCTTTCTTTTTTACAAGTAGATCTGGGCTGGAAAAAGGGCTGGAGCTTGGTTGGATTATCCCCGCGAATAGCATTTCATTCACCAGGCGTTCAATTTGATCCTTTTGATGATGGCTATATCGGTAGAGCTTCACATTTACTGGTGCGGTTCCTAATTTTAGGGTGATGCGATGATCATGTCTCCTTTCAGGGGGAAGTCCTTGGGGTTCTTCAAAAATTGTACCATATTGCTGCAATATTAGTTCCAATTCCTGGACCTGAGCGCTTGAGGAATTGAGCGTCGAAGTCTCTGTTGATGACGTTTCTGTTGATGATGTAATCTGCCAGAGCAAGAGGCAGTAATCGATGTCATCGTCCATTTGTTGCAATGCGCTCAAAGAGATAGGGGCACGTGGAAAGGATGGGTCCCCTAACAGACTAATCTCTTCATTATCCCGTAAAAATTCAATACTCATTATTGTCCAGTTCGCTTTGATATCGCCTAATGTTTGGAGCCATGCCACGCCGAGAATGATGTTAGTACCTCCAAGAGGAAATATATAGCAATCTAATGACATCGTGATTGATTGAAGTTGAATTGGTAAATTGTTATACTTCCATGTTGAAGTTGCTCGACTGCTATCTCCTAAGCGAACCCAAAAACGGACTATTTACTCTATTGGTTTGGGAATTTTCTGAGCAAGTTTGGCTGAGATGAAGTTGTGGCTTGCCCCACTATTTACCATAATAGTCACTGGTTCACCGTACACATGACCTGAAAATTTCATTGTCCGCGGTCCATCTATTCCACCTATCGCCGTAAAAGGTAGATCTAGAAAATGGAGCTGAGCTTCACTGGTTTCTGCTTAATGTTGTTGGGATTCTTCTAGTCCGAAGTCGGAGATGATATCAGTGATCTCGTCTTCTCTTGCGATGAGAGCGCACAATGATTTTTTAGGGCAATTATGCATCGGGTTGTACGGTAGTTTGCAGCGAAAACACAAGCCTTTCGCACGCATGTTCAAATATTCTTGATGGGAGTATTGGCGGGCCACTCTACTTTTTTGTGTTGTGTTATGTTGTGTCGCAGTAGCTGTGAAGAGGAGGAACCTGTGCCTCCTGGAAGTAGTCTGAAGTGATCATTGGGCTTGTACTGGGCTGCAGAATTCTTATTTTGGCCGGTTGTTAAGGTGCAGTTTTGTTTTGGTGGTTCAAAACGAGATGGATTAATAGGCCTCGGTTGGAAGCCTAAACCATACCTAGTAGTAAATCTTCCAGATTTGGAAATTAGGAAATTGACATTCATCATATTTTCATGCATTATGAGTGATATAGTGTGATGTTTAACCGTGTTTATCGTGGGATTGTGCACCATTTTGTTTGATTTATTAATCTATGATAGAGGTACATTTGTCGTTGGTTTTGCAGGAAATATGTCCGAAAAAGCGTTAAAGATGGAATTGGGACGAAAAAAGACAAAAACAAGGTGCAGGTAGGTCACACGACTCGTGTGAATAGGTGACACGAGTCGTGTGGGTTGAAAAGATGACGAAATTGAGGAATTTTGCTTCGGCTTTTTCACACGACTCGTGTGTCAAGTGATACGGGTCGTGTGACCTCACACGGGTCGTGTGACCCGGTCGTGTGACCAGTCGTGTGAGTCTGGGAGTTGTCCGAAAGTTCGAGGAAAGTCACACGACTCGTGTGGCATGTGACACGGGTCGTGTGACGCGCAGAGTGACCAGCGGGAAATAGGATTCTTACGCGATTTTGTCCCTTTTCGACCCATATTTGCCCTACAGTATATAAGGAACTATGAGAACACGGTTTTGGGACTTTTGACACCATTGGAGGCCTAGAGAAAGCACGAAACACACAAGGGATTCGAGGAAGTCAAGATTGAAGATTCGGGAACTAACGGCAACAATAGTTCTTCTTTTTTTTCTCTTTTTCTTTTTCAATGAACTCATGGATTTATTTATTTTGAGTATTAAGAATATGTATAGTAGTTAAATCTCTTTGAGATCCTAGGATTTGCGAGTACTCGAATTATTTTATGATGTGATTTTATTTATTCATTTCAGTCTATCTTTCGTTTATCAATTTCTTGTGATTATATGAATTGTGTGAATATAGGTCCCGTATTTATGCATATTTGTGATTGACTTGAGACCGAGAGGAGATAGTTGATTGCTAGGATTGGGAAATTCATAACGTAGGAAACTAAACAGACCGAGAGGTTGATAGAATCTTGCGAGGGAACTAGAATCTTAGGAGCTTATGGGAGTTAGTTGTTCATCTTGAGACCGAGAGGAGATAGATAACAATTAATATCTACTATTTAACTTGTTCGAGAGAAAGGTGTATATTACTTTAGCGATTATCCCTACGAGTGGTAGAATTATATAAGGTTTGAATGAATAAGTAAACTTTGCTAGAATAATCCCGAGGAAAGCATAGCCTAGAATCTATTTTCTCATACTTGATTTATTTAGAATAAGCCTTCTTTAGTGTTAGAATTTATTTTGCAATCATTCATTTGTTTAGAATAGAATCACCATTCAAATTTGAGTTAGTCTAAATAATATTTAATCGTCTATATTTGGATACTTAATTATTTTAACATCAATCTCTGTGGAATACGACCTTGCTCGCCGCTTTCTATAGCTACACCGTACACTTGCGGGTTGTGAAAATATTTTGCGAACAGAAATCCAATTCTCGTACAACAGACCGAGCAACTTTCATGGCCGTTCGTAGATCGAGCACATCATATGGGTGCAAGCGGACCCTTATTTCATCCTTGAGTCCATTTAAGAAAAACCCTAGTTGAAGTTGTGAATCCGGGCCTGGGACTTGGGCTGCTCTCGCTCGAAATTCATTGGCGTAATCATCCAGAGATCCTGTTTGGTGTAAGGCAG